AGAAAATATGTGTATATTTTTTATCACTGATTCTGCTGTCCAAAAGTAATAAGTACTGGTTATTTGGTAATAGTTAACAGTAAGGTTTCATTTGTTAACCACATACTTTTACCTTAGTTAATTTTACTAATGCATTTTAAAAACCAAAAGTTGTATCTGTTTGTTAGTTAATGCCTTGTGAACTAACCAGGGTTATTATATAATTTGTTGATTAATATTAGGCTTAATGAAGTTAAAATAATGGCACCTTTGCAAATAAATGTAAACAAATAGACACTACTGTTCAAAAGTTGGAGGTCAGCAGGATTTTTTGAAGAAATAAATGCTTTTATTCAGCAAGGATACATTAGACAGTGTTATTTTAGAATCATTGTGATACTATTATAGTATTCATCAGGGTTATAACTGAAACTAAAACCATAAAAAATTGTTAATTTAAATAAAATAAACTTTAACTGAAATAACATATATATAAAAAATGTATTTTATTTCAGATAGATGCCAAGACTACATTTCATGTAGACTATAAGGACATAAACAAATCAACATAAAAAAATTTAAATAAAGAAAAGAAAGCAAAATAACCCTGTTTTTATTAAAATTTTCAGTTAGTTTTTTATTTTTACATTTTCTGTTTTCATTGATCAATCTGATTTATTTCATGTCATTTTTGTTTTTATTCATTTTATTTCAGTTTTAGTTTAGTTATTTTAGTACATTAAGTTAAACTAAATGAAAATGATAAATATTGCCTTGGAAGCTAGCTGTAATAAAATTACTGTAATAAAAATGTTTTTTTTTTTTTCAAATTTTATTTTGGTTGGCATTTATTTTATTTTAAGTAATGAAAATGTTTGTAGATTTTTTTTATGGATTTATGGATTTAATACACATATATAAAACTATAATAACCCTGGCATTAAATTGATCAAAAGTAACACTAATGTTCAGTAAATTATTATGTTTTTTATTGTTCATCTGTCTGTGAATCCTGAAAAATAATGGTTTCCACAAAAATATAATGCAGCACGACTGTTTTCAACATTGATAATAATCAGAAATGTTTCTTGTGCAGCAAATCAGCATATTAGAATGATTTCTGAAGATCATGTGACACTGAAGATTGGAGTAATGATGCTGAAAATACAGCTTTGATCACAGAAATAAATTACAGTTTAACAGATATTCACATAGTACACAGTTATTTTAAATAGTAATAATATTTCACATTTTTGCAGCATTCTTGATCAAATAAATCCAGCCTTAGTGAGCAGGAAAGATCTTACTAACCCCAAACTTTCAGTATACAGTATTTTGATAGTCCAGTCACTCAGATTCGGATGACAGATGTGTGTCTGTAAACACAGCCAGAGGGGAGGTGATCTGATCTCGCTCTGATTCTCTTTAACTAGTAGAGTTTCCTAATGCAAACATCACTGTAACTGTCAAGCATAAATGCAGTATTTCAATGTGAAGCACAATGTGCATCGAGTACAAAATCAGTGCCGGTGAGTTTTGTGCAGTCAAACCCCACGCACTCTTTGCAAGCATCTACAGCAGCAATTTAGCAATATGTCATGTTTACAAGAGCTGATGTTAATTTAGTCTGTAATTAACCTTTGAGCGGTGCAGCGCTGCCGTCACTCTGATATTTGTGACTCTGAAGTGAGGTTTGCATCAGCAGCAGCAGCTCTCAGGAACAATGCCACGCCGTGTGATTGAACATGTGACCCCAGAACTCGCCTTTGTGCAGGTGACCGAAACAATGTGCTGCTATGGCAACAGTTTTGGCCCACAGACAGCCGATAGGGCAGCTGCATGCTCTGAATCAGACTCTCTCACATGTGCATTTGGGTTTGTTTGTATGACATCATGGGTTTTAGTGTTGAATGTTGTGAATGTTTACTGTAGCTCAACTCTTGCTAATGCAAATGTACATATTCTCTCTGGATGCATTTTATTTCATGCATTCAAAATACTAGACATTTATTATTTCTCATTTTGCATTGATGGCATACATTGTTATTTTACTTCGTGCATTCAAATACTAGACATTTACATTATTTCTGCAGCGTATGACTTACATTGCATTGAAGATATTTTTATTTCATTTCATGCATTCAGATACTAGACATTTACACTATTTCTTACATCGCATTGAAGATATACTTTTTAAATTTTTTATTAATGCATTCAAGTACTAGATTTTTTATATTATTTCTTATATTGCATTGAAGATATAATGTTTTTATTTTATTTAATCAATTTAAATACTAGACTTTTATATTATTTCTTACATTGCATTGAACATAGTTTAAAAAAAATATGAATCCATTCAAATAATATATTTTTATATTATTTCTTACATTGCATTGAAGATATAATTTTTTTTATTTTATTTAATCAATTTAAATACTAGACTTTTATATTATTTCTTACATTGCATTGAACATACAGTTTTTTTTTAAAATATTAATGCATTCAAATGATAGATTTTTATATTATTTCCTACATTGCATTGAAGACATGATTTTTTAAAATTTTACTTAATGCATTTAAATACTAGACTTTTACATTATTTTTTACATTGCATTGAAGATGTATATTTGTTATTTTATGCATTCAGTATTGGGTAGAAATTGCTTTTTGTGAGTTCAAAGTATTAAAATCAGAAACTAAGAAACTAATGTAATTTTATTGGTAATAAAATTGTAAACCAAGAAGAACGTTCAGTAATTGTAATTATAGTATTTAATTATATATAATTATTTTAATACATTTTCTTTATTTTAAAACATTGAAAGTTATCAGATTTGTCATTATGCTTAAATAAGACTCAACAAAGTTGGAAATAAGCTAACAATGATTTCTATTCACGAACCAGCCAGGGTCTTCATGATGTTGCATAATCTGGATATATTGTAAAATATGTCTGTATTTTGCTTCAGAAAAATGACATTTCTGTGAAATCTGTGAATGAAGCATTTTGTAAGCGTTGTTTTGTGAGACGTCTCGCACGTGTAATTGGACTGTCCTCGGGGAAGGGGATTCCGAGCGTCAGACTTTTAATCATTTTGATTGGCTTCTTTCATTCATGAACTGCAGCCGAACAATTACTGGCAGGAAATTGCAGCTGCTTACGACGCTGGAGTTGATTATAAGAGCACCGGCACTCGGAGCGCATCTAATCAAACACACACACACACACACACACTGTCCATTGAACGCGGGCCTGTCGCCCCCCTCGGAGCGTGTAGGTGGTAGATGTGACATTTAAAACCAGTTCCACATCTCACCTGCTGTTTACAGGCCTCACAGTCACAAAACAGCCCCGTGTCACGGTACATGAGACCTTTACACAAGAACTCCATCCTGACTTGGATTTGAAATGTGACGCTTATTTTGAACAGCTATAGAAGTCGACTGCTTACACGCAGTAGAATAGAAGAATAAAGTCAAGTGCTTTGAGGAATAGTTAGAGGACTCTGTCATCGTTTACCCACACCTCTTCTGCGCCACACAACAGATGTAATGCTGTTCACTCTCATAGCGTGACTGTATTTCACATGATGATGATGAAAGTCTTTAGGGTTTTGAGCAGTGGTTAAAAATGAAGATGTAAGCTAAAATTGTATTTCTTGTTTTAATTTGTTTCTTTGACAGATATAATTTTTACTTAAGAACAAGGTTCCCATTGTATGAGATAAATTTAAAAGTGTGATTTCTGGACCTGGAAAGTAATTAAAATTAAAATTACAATTAAAATTATTTGCATAAAATTTTTAAATAAAAAATAGAAGTTAAATTTCAACTTATTTCATTGTTTATATATAATTTCTATGTTTATATATAAATAAGTAATTAAAATGTGTGTGTGAGTGTACACATATGTATATATCAACTTGATTTTATATATTTTTATATATATAAATTACAGTTGTTAAAAAACTATATATATATATATATATATTCTTTTTATAATAAATAATAAAAATACATTTTGAAAAAAAGATCAAATGTGATCAAACAACCAATCACAGCGCACCACTCCACGCACTCTAGACAGTAATGGCGGCGCTTTGAATACACCCGGCTTCCTAGTTTTCCTCATCTATTTTGTACTTTGTGATCAACAAACAAACTTAGGGCTGCACGATAAACCGCATGTGATTGTCATGCGCATCTCAGAGCCGTAGATCACTGCTATATCGCGTTCATAATCGCAGATGAGTCGCATTCGATTATGAACGCGATATTGCGTAGCTTGTCAGTGTAAGTGTTTTTATTTATGCCATTAATGTTTTTGTTACTAGTCAACTAAATGAATGTAACATGGCAAAGATGAATGCACTTTTGGAAGTTGAATGTAAAGGAAATATCATTTTGGAATTTCTGTGGTTTAATGTGATATTGTTGTTCATGTATGTTCATGATGAAATTTTCTTTTATTGTTGTAATTAATTTATAGCATTAACAAGTTGACCCGTTGAATTCATTTTGGAGCGATGACTGACTGAATGTATTTTTAGTCCAGTGCCTGCATATAAGATTAGTATTGACCAAGTTCAGAGGCTGTCATATGTGGATCAACTTACTATATATATATAGTAAGTATATATATATATTCTTTTTTATAATAAACAATAAAAATAAATTTTATACATTTTTTCAAGCTCTAAAATGTTTTAGCTAGTAGAAATTACTATTTGTGAATACAATTTTTTTATTTTTTATGAAATAAAACAAAATCATAAACTAGAAACGTCAAAGAAATTCATTGGTAGTCAAAAGTGTAAACCACGAAGAACATTCAGTTATTGGAATTATGGATATATATTTCCATTTCTGGATTCTGTAAATAAAAAGTTTGAAAATGAGCAGAATTGTGATTATAGCAGAAGCTTTGTTATAAATCAGAAATATCTTCAAAAAGCTTGAAAAATGCTGGTTTAGAGTTTATAAATGAAATCTCCTGAATGCTGTACTGCTTCTCTCTTCAGGTCTTGAACCTCTTCTTGGCGTTGCTCCTGAGCTCCTTCAGCGCAGACAACCTCTCATCTCCGGATGAGGACGGCGAAATGAACAACCTGCAGATCGCCATCGCTCGCATCCAGCGTGGGATGCTGTGGCTCCGGCAGGCACTCTGCGACTTCTTCAACGGGGCACTCTGCGGCTTCTTCAACGGGAACTTCAAGCGGCGCCGGCAGAAGGCCAAGGAGGCCAAAGCCATGCTGAAGCTGAAGAGACTGAGCCAGCAGACGCACTGGGCCGAGGGCAACGGGACAGCCGTCATCGAGCGCGCCGCGGAGGACGACAGCTACATGACCAACCCCAACCTCACCATCAGCGTCCCCATCGCGCCTGGAGAGTCCGACCTGGAGTTCCCCGAGGAAGATGACGAGGAGGAGGAGGAGGAGGAAGATGAGACCAGCGAGAGCTCAGAGGAGGAGGGAGAGGAGACCAAACCAGTGAGTGAATGAAGCTGAATCATGCACACTTACAGCAGCATGTTGTGGATGTATTGGCAGCAGCAAGTCTCGGTACTCAGCAGCAGCAGCGTAGCAAATCTATTCCGCCAAGACCAAATACATTAACATTGTCATATCCATCACCATGCTAAAATCTTCAGAGCGTTATCATGATTGAATTATTGTTAACTGAATCTAAAGCCATAAGAAAACATTTCGTTAACTGAGAAAAAAATAAATACAAATAAAAAAAAAATATATATATATACACAGTACAAAACTAAAACTTATTTCAGACAATTGCCGAGGAAACATTTCTTATTTCCTATCGGACTGCGCCATCTAGAGTTTCATGCCAGAACTCTGTATTTAGGTTTACTTGATGTACTAAAATAAATAAAAATGAAATAAAAATGAATAAAAACTATGTAGACATATTTAAAATGTCACAAAATGAAAACTAAAATTGAAATGAAAACAGAAAATAGAAAATAGAAAAATAAAAACTGATTCAAAATATTGACAAAAACTATAAGAGTATATCAATAATACTAAAATAACACTGGCTCAATGAATATGACACAATTTGAAATACAGCATGATTTTGGAGCAATGCTATATTAGTATTATTTATATGCTATTATTTAAATGTATTTTAGTTTCTATTAATAATTTGAATTAGATTTATTTTTATATTGTCAGTTTTTTTAACTTTACTTAAAATTTTAGTGTATATATATATATATATATGTATATATATACACTTTAATTTTGCCAATGTAAACAATATATTTTATATTTTCAGTTTTCATGTTAGTTTAAATTTTAGGATTTTTTTATTTTTAGTAATATTACATGCTTTTGTCACTTTAATTTTGTCAAGCTAAACAGTTATTTTTATATTTTCAGTTTTAATGTTAATTTTATTTTAATTTTTAGTATGTTTATTTTTAGTAGTTTCATGTCACTTTAGGTAAGCTAAACAGTTTTATATATATATTTTTCATTTCATTTGAATTTTTCTTTATTTTTTTCTATTTTTAGTAATTTTGTTATGTACTTCTGTCACTTATTGTTTTCCCCCCTCTTAATATTACTATTCAGGTTTAATTTAGTTTTAGTTTGTATTTATTTCCAGTAATTTTAGTGCTTCAACCTAAACTAATTACAGTTAGTTGCTGAGGCAACATTTCTAATATTTATATTTGATATTATTTCAGCTTTATTTCAATTAACAAAAATGTTTATAATAGTTTTGGTTATCAATAATAATCCTGTTTGGGAGACTAGAATCCTTATCCTGCATACTATTTGATTCATATTTGATTGTCTGGCTTCTAAACATGTTTATGAAATATTAATTAGTGCTTCAAGACTAGTCACTGGACGTTTCTGAAGTTTTGCATTTAGTTTTTGTTTTTTTAATTGGTTTAGTTTGAGACATTTAGTTGGACGCAAGCAAGATATCGTTGGACTCAAGTGTACTGTACAGTTTGCTTTGTTGTAGTTATGTTTGTTTTCATATTTAGCCATCGTAAACATTGTGTAAAACAATCAAATGCAGTCAAACAGATGCTTGTCTTGTCTAATAATGCGGTCAGTCAGAGAATCTGTAAAATGGAACAGACTTATTATCGAGGGTCGAGTTGTTACATGAGGCTGGATCTATAATATGCTTTAATGTTTATGCGCTCATGAATGTTTGATGTGAGTGATCGTCAGCTTAACGGCACGATAACTCAGCTGCATCGTTTATGGTCCCTAAACATATCGGGTTTCTTAAACTCTCGTCATGTTTTAAGTGCTGCAGCGTGTTTTTGAGGACAGCTGCGTGCAGATGAAGGTGTCCGGATCAGCCGCAGACACAAACTGTTAGCTTCTTCTGTTGGTCTGGCTCTCTTCCTCCGAGCCGTGCGTCTCTGTCTCTTCACCCGGTCAGACGAGGTCGAGCGCACAGAGACTAATAAGTAGCTCTCAGACGAATGGGAATCGCAGTTATGAACACCCACTCGCAACTGCTGTTTTCTCCTGCGTCTTCCTCCAGAGATGTTTTCCCTTCAAAAACAGGCATGTCGTGTCCAGAAATGCTGCTTTGGCAGCTAGCTAAAATAAAATAAGTTTTTAAATTTCATTTTATTTCAGTTAATATTATTTTTTTCAAGTAACAACATTTTTTTATGGTTTTATTTTTATTTTTGGTTAGCTCTCTTCACCCGGTCAGACGAGGTCGAGCGCACAGAGACTAATAAGTAGCTCTCAGACGAATGGGAATCGCAGTTATGAACACCCACTCGCAACTGCTGTTTTCTCCTGCGTCTTCCTCCAGAGATGTTTTCCCTTCAAAAACAGGCATGTCGTGTCCTCATCGGATGTCATGGCCAGATTTATTTGTGTTTCATATGTACATGAGAACATATTGGCCAGCCTGAGTAAAAGGCTTGAGGTTAAATTTTTTTATGGTTTCCAGTTTAGTTAACTATAATAACCCTGTTCCTGTTTGTGGTTAGTCTCAGACTGCTGAAAGCATGATGAACTCTTTAACAGCGAGGCATTTATTAATCGCCGGATCAATTAGACTTAAAGGCATTCTGAGTGAAAGTGCGTGTGATTTTCCCATTCCTTGCGGATCTTTATTCTCTAAGTGCTTTTCTCAGGTCCTCACAGACAGTGACCTGTAAGTGACTGGGATCCTCTCTCTGTTAGAAATGAATCTGGGCCGTGGCGTCCGGCTCGGCTTGTAGTCGCGCACCTGTGACGAAGGAGTTTCATTTTCGTCTCTTTAATCTTTCACTACACCTGTTCTACCTCATTCTGTCCATCTTTTATCTTTTCGTTTAGCTGTTCTTTTATCTTGCGCCGCACCTGTCCTCTCCCACTCGATCTTTCGCTGTCCTTTCTCTCGTATCTCGTGTCGTTTTCCCTCCCGGCACAGATTATCTGGGTTTCCCCGAATCACAAAGCTTGGTAATAGTCCAGAACTTTCTCTCTCTTTAATCATCAGGGATGTGGGAAGCACATGAGGATGTTTGTTCAGAACAGCTTCTATTTCTGGTGTCATTAATTGGGAGTGTTCTGCTTTCTATATAAATACTGATGTAAGAGTGACGCGGATGCCCCGGAGACTTATATTATACTGTACATTAGCATTTCTTCAACATTTGCATTTTCATTTTATAGCTCTGACGAAGGAGTTTCATTTTCGTCTCTTTAATCTTTCACTACACCTGTTCTACCTCATTCTGTCCATCTTTTATCTTTTCGTTTAGCTGTTCTTTTATCTTGCGCCGCACCTGTCCTCTCCCACTCGATCTTTCGCTGTCCTTTCTCTCGTATCTCGTGTCGTTTTCCCTCCCGGCACAGATTATCTGGGTTTCCCCGAATCACAAAGCTTGGTAATAGTCCAGAACTTTCTCTCTCTTTAATCATCAGGGATGTGGGAAGCACATGAGGATGTTTGTTCAGAACAGCTTCTATTTCTGGTGTCATTAATTGGGAGTGTTCTGCTTTCTATATAAATACTGATGTAAGAGTGACGCGGACGCCCCGGAGACTTATATTATACTGTACATTAGCATTTCCTCAACATTTGCATTTTCATTTTATAGCTCTGCGCTCCTACTGTATGACAACTACTGACTCATTTGTGCCTGGTGTTAATTTTAGGAATTAAACAAGGAATTTTATTTATTTACTAAAATCCATAATACTAATATTTATTTATCTGTTTGTTTGTTTATTTTTAGATATTTATAGATATACTAATATTATTATACATTTATTTGTTTGTTTGTTTATAGATAGATAGATTTAGTTACAGTTTGTAGACTGATCCTAATATACATATTTTTTAATTTTTATTATTTGTTTAATTATTTAATTATATATAGTTATACTAATATTTATTTATTTTTATAAATTTTTATAAATGTAATTTAATTTAATTTAATTTATTTATAGGTATAACATGCTAATATACATTTGTTTATTTATACACATACTAATATTAATCTACATTTGTTTGTTTGTTTATAGACACACTAATACAAATAGTTATTGATTGATTGATTGATTGATTGATTGATTGATTGATTGATATAATACTAATATACATGTATTAAATTATTTATAGGTATAGTAATATATGTTTATTTTTTGGTGTACTATTTATTTATTACAGTAATACAAATACTAAAACATTTATTAAATATAGATAAGTATATTAATATTGATTTATATAGTATATGAATATTGATAAGTATATTAATATTGAAGTATATTAAGATAGATAGATAGATATTGATTGATTGAATTATTGACTGATTGATAGATAGACATACTACCAGTAATACTAGTATTTGTGTGCACGTATTTATTTATTTATTTATTTATCGTGCCATTATTTAAATTAAATTTGCATTTTCTCTTACTGACTGATTTGTGTGTTGTTGTCTTTAAGGGATTTGTTTGAGGAGCGTGTGATGTGTGGTTTCGTGTTTGTTGTGTGTTCGTGCGGTTGGTTTTCGCAGCGCTGTAATGTCAGAGCGTCGCCGCTGGGCTCCGAGTCGACAGGATCACACCTGAATCACTGAACACAGCAGACAGACAAACACAAGCAGACACACATGACCCAACCTCACCATCACACACATCACATCAAACCTGAGCGCTCCACATTCACCTGAAGAAACCGCTTCTGCCATAATGCTAACCATCACAGAGAACAGGATGTGGCACAAATGCTGCTAGTGGAGCTTGATTTGTTATAAACCTGGAACATTATTTTAATTGTGCAAGTTTAATAATATCATTGTCCATTACAAGTGTGATATAATTATAAAATACACTTATTGATTGATTGATTTATTTATAGATATAGTAATATTAATATACATTTAATTATTTATTTTATAATATAACAATATTTCCAACAATCCCTTTTTTTGTTCTTCAACACACATCCTGAACAGCGTGATTTAGTATGACACGTTTCACAGTTTCAC